ATACAATTTACGATTTCAAATACTATTTCTACAGTGTTGTAGTTTATGACCAAAATGTGTAAGTCGCTATAAAATAAAATTTTGTTTGTTGCCATTTGCAATTAGTAAAAATTGAAAGCCATAAAATTGTGTTTAATATCTATAAAAGAAACTACCCCAAGTTTTTAGTTTAAAGATCCATAAAAGTCATGATATATAAAAGTATTATTAATAATTTATAAATGGCGGCACACTTAGGGCAACAAAATGAATTGAATTTGAAAGAAATAGTAGAAAACTATTGTGCTGGTCGTAAAAATAATAAACTTACAAGTATTAGTAATTGACAACAATGTTGTGGAGTTGCCGTTGTAGAAATGCATATTAATAATTGAAAAAAAGTATTTAAATGACTTTGTACGTGAGAACTTTTTATGGCTGTAGAGTTTAAGGGAAGGGGCTTGACATAAATATAATATGAAAACCATATGATAAAAAAGAAGTTTTGATTATTTTTTTAATAATAAAGTATTTATGTAATTTAATTTTTAGCTTAATTCAGAAATATTTTATCAATTTCTTGGCAAAAAAGGGATTTTCTAAAAGAGGGGTGTTATTAGGAGGGGATGCAGGGGGTTAATATGGTCCTATCCTTATAAATTTTGTATGGGGGCTATTCGAAATAATGGATCGATTTTCAATAGGCTTCGTACTTGGATCAAAAGAACAGTATGTGCCAAATTTCATCAAATTATCTTGAAAATTGCGAACTGTCGAGTGCGTATAAGCTTTACATAGCAAAAGCCCTATTCGGGGTTTACGGTTGTTTGGGGTCAATATGAAATAATGGACCGAATTTAACAATTTTCAATAGGCTTCGTCCTTGGGTCAAAAGAGTAGTATGTGCCAAATTTCATCAAATTATCTTCAAAATTGCGACCTGTAGAGTGCGCACAAAGTTTATATGAACACACAGACGGACAGACAGACAGACAGACAGACGGCCATGGCTTAATCGACTCAGAAAGTGATTCTGATCCGCTTGGTGTACTTTATGATAGGATCAATATTTTTGGATGTTACAAACATGAGCACAAACGCATAATACCCTCGCCACTGTAGTGGTCTAGAGTATAACTATTATTACTTATTATAGCCCAGCAAAAATTTTCATTACCTAGTAATCCAGAAAGTAATATTGGAATCACGTGGAAACTAATTACTTTTGGGGTGAATAACTAATTATTTTTGTTCGACGAGGTTCAAATAATATGTACCTACCTTAAACAAATTAATAAATGGTTACTAATTTGATTACAAAAACTTTGCGAAATAACTAGTTACAAATAAACCTACAAATATGTTATGTGATAGCTAGTTATTTTGGGCCGACTTTGTATGTAGAAAACAAAAAATAAAAAAATTCTCGGCCGGGATTTGAACCCAGGCATTCAGTTGTTTTCTGTGTTTCTCACTCCAGCCGCTTACTCGATGCTCCATTAACATGTTTTGAGAACGGCATTTTACAAAAATATATAAATGAATGTCATTTTGAAAAAAAATAAATAGTATCCAGCAGGGCTCGAACCACGAACCCCCTGTTTGTTAAATAAGCGACCTAGACAATTGAGCCATAACAAATCCAAATTGTTTTGTTCTTTACCAGTAATAACCTATTCAGCTAAATAAAATAATGTGGATGATAATGAACACTCATTACCAAGTAATGTATGAAATAACTACTGGCTATTACCAAAAATTTCATATTTTTTGCTGGGAGGTAATCATATTTTATGTATTAGTTTTAGGAATATAATAACAATTTGGTGGTGAAATAAATGTGGAAGTAAGAGAAAATTTATTGATTTTTTCAAAGTTATTTGCTGCAAAAAGCTTAATTAAGTTTTTATTTATTTAAGCTAGAAGTATAGATCCCATAAGTCAAACTATTTAAGAAAGTTGCATTTCTACGAAAAGAACAATAAATCCTTTTCTCCCTTAAAAAAAATTAAACCCAAAGAAAATTAATAGTCCCCATGATTCAAAGAGCAATGCAAGCTCTTAATTTAGCTGTCAAACTCATGTAGTTGTTTACAAAAACATTCCTTTTGCTTTAATTTTATTGTAAAAAAAATAATTGAAATTTTATTGAAATTAATTGGACTTTGTACTTATTTTGAAAATCTTTTTTCGAATTAATTTCGAAATGTAATATATGCTGAAAAAATTGTTGTTATTTAGCACTTGCCACTTGTGGTGGCAACATGCCCCACAACTATAACAATAACAACAACCACTGCTAGTGACAAATATTTGACCCATTAACTAACCTTTTTTTCATTTTCTCTTTTTTGTATGCTTTGTATATTTTCAAGTTGATTATATGCCAACTAAAAAAAAACTACTTAAATTGTGTTTTTTTTTTTTTTTTTTTGTATTTTGTCTCTTTATTTTCTATAAAATTTTCTATGCTTTTCAATGAAATTGATATTGGCTGGCGTTCATTGTCATGTTTTTACTGCAGCTCTTAGCAAGCAAGCAAATGCCGCAACATACAGCACATTCTCTATTATTGCTAAGACATGCATAAGTGGCATGCAACTCTGCTACTGACTACTTAAATTTCTATAGAATTTCTTTTTAAGAATCTATTTAATGATGTCGTTATTTACAAAGTTTTCAAAAAAAAAGAACTTTTATTGCTCATATATGAACATTATAGAGGCATGTGTTATCTATTTTGTAAATGTCTACAGTAAACTAAAGATTGTAGGACTCTTAAGCTAACACAGTTAGTTGAGTTTTAAATTTGTTGCAACAATTTAGCTTTTTTTTTTTTGATTTGGTCAGTAGGTTAAATCGTTTTTATATTTTATAACATATATTTTACTGTATTAAACTTTTGAGGACTTTTGAACATATACAAGTACATGTTTGAAATACTATTTACAAAATTGTGTTAATTTTTTTCTTTGCAAAAAGGAAAATTCTTATTTAAGTTGCTGTTTTGTGGCAAGTTACTCAAGTATTTAAAGTGGCACACTTGTTTGATGACAACATGTTGTAAAATACTATATTATTGTTATTGCAGTTGTTGCTTTTTAACAAAGTGTCATTATGGCGCTTCAAAGTAAGAAAAAATTAATTCATTCAATAGATGATGAATGAGATTTAAATGAAAGAAAAAAAATTCAAATAAAAAAAACATTATTTCATTGCTTTTGTTAATGCTGCCATTTTTATTTATTGTTCAAATGATGAATGAATGAAAAACACAATTTTCACAAAAGTCAATTAACTAATTGGCAATAAAAACTATCACAAATATAACACAAACAATCTTAAAGGGTGGAAAATAACAACAAAAAGAAAAAGTTTTTTTGTTTTTTTTTTTTTTTTTTGTTTTTGGCATTAAAACAAAAGTTCAAAATCCATTTTATTCTTAGTATTAAGAAAAATTAGCCGCAAACTAAGGGTAATAGCACGGAAAAAGCATTGGTTGCTATGAAATTTACTTGAAGGTTGGCGCACGAAAAAAGAAAATTTTTATGACCATTAGCTTATACATGGTAAAGAAATATTGGACTTTAATCTAAAAAAAATAGAATTTAAGCAGAGGTTGTTATCTTAGACAAACAGGGGACGAATGAAATCAATAATTTGCAGGCTTATTAGCATAACAGTAGAGAAAGAGAGAAATTGCTAACTAAAGAGAGAAAAACTTGGCTAAAAGAGCTTTAAGTTAAAATTTAAAGCTTACTTTATGGTGTTAGGTCATTATCTCAGACTACCAGGGGACGAATGAAATCAATAATTTCCAGGCTTATAAGCATAACAGTAGCGAAAGAGAGAGAAATTGTTAACTAAATAGAGAAATTGGTAAAAAGAGCTTTAAGTAAAAAATTTAAAGCATACTTTATAGCTGATGTTCAGATAAGTTGAATAGAAGAATGGACTGGTGATAGGTCATTATCTCAGACTACCAGGGGACGATTGAAACCAATAATTTGCAGGCTTATTAGCATAACAGTAGAGAATAGATAGAAACTGCAAACTAAATAGAGATAAACTTGGCTAAAAGAGCTTTAAGTAAAAATTTAAAGCCTACTTTATGGCTGAAAATAAGTTCAGATAAGTTAAATATATGAATAGACTGGAGGTATTTCAAAATCAAAGCCACTACCAAAAGTTTAATAAATAACTCTGAAAAGTTTAAGGCATATATACTAAGAAAGAGAGAGAGAGTAACTGTTTACACAATAGTGTTAAGCAAAAAACTAAAGCATAACACACGGCTGTAATGTTTCGTTTAAAGTTTAGCATAACTTACAGCATTAATATTTGGTTTTAAATTAAGGTTTAAAGCAAATTGTTTAAACTTTACACATATTAGGCTTTTTTTTGTTTAGGTAAATGATTCATTTAATATGTATTTCAAATAATTGATATTATTAACGGAAAACCAATTTTGTTTTTTTTTTTTTTTGGTATTCAAACAACAACTAAACTTAATAAATTATTAATTGCTTGTTTCTTTTAAGCCATATTTGTATGAAACACTAATACTTTTTGTACGTTTTTTTTTTCTATATTTTGTATTGTTAAAACACAAAAATAATTTGTTTTAGGTTTCAAGATTTTAAGCGATAATTTCTTATTAATATGCTAGACAAGGCTTGTCACTGACAAATTTGTTGTTTTAGTTTTTTTTTCTTTTTTTGGGTTTTAGTATAGAAAATCATGTAAATCATATGGAAATTATAAACCCACTACTAAAAACTTAAAGGTTTCTCAATTACAAAACAAACAATAGTTTAGTAAGACAAAAACAACTTCCTAAATTACTTTGTATTTTTTTCTACTCCCCTCTATTATAATGAGAATTTAATGTTGATTAATTTCCTTTTTGTTTTTTTTTTGTTTTGTTTTCTTTAGAATTTACACAATTAATGTAAAATAATTAAATTTAAATAAATTGTAAAGTAAACAAATGTTAATAAAAGTCTGTTTTATCTTTTTAGCCATGCAAAATATGAAATAAAGGTAAGTTTTCTTTTACGAACATGTTTTAAACCTTTGAACAACTTTAAAACACTACAGGGGCCGAAGGTTTAAAAAAAAAAAAGTATGTTCCTGTTTATATTTAAGAAAAAATACAAACAGTTTTATCTCTACGCGGAAAGCTAACAAACTATTTAAAAATTTGCCATAATCTCCCTAAGCCAACCTCTGCTTTACCTATTAAGCTTTGGGCGACGATTGTCTTCTATTTAGGAAAACTTCATTCATTTCGTTTTCATTTCTTCCTGAAACTATTTTAACCTTTTTAAAACAACAAGGTGTGTTTTGGCCATAAAAAAACATACAAATTATCAGATAAAAGGATTTAATTTAATGCAGTTTCTAAGGCACATACATACAAGTGTTAAAATGTATACTTTTTTTTCTAACAAATGAAATGAAACGGAAATCATGGCGCCATTTACTATCATATTTTCACATAGTATATGCGGTTTTTTACAAACTCTAGTAAATGTGGCGCATGTTTTCAATACATTTAGTTAAACATTAATATATGGCGTTTATCATAATTACACACTTGTATATGCTGCTTACAATATACAAAATTACAAAACGCTTGAGAAAATTTTCAAATGCTTGAAAACAATAGCGATTATAACAACAACTTTATCGCTGTAAAAACAAGTGAATACGTGACCTATAGAATGTAATAAAAAATTTAAAAAAAATGCAAAAATTTATTAAATTCTATGAAAAGCCTAAAAAATGCTTTCTTGGTATCAGCTTAAATTAAGCATAAATCTTTTTTTGTGTTTGGGTTTGTAATCCCTCAAAATTTGGTTGTAAGTATGCTAGTGAGTTTGTAAGTTTTGTTCTTGTATATTTTATGACAAAAGAACATTTATTTATTTGGGAATATTTTGTGTATTTTAGACACAATTGTCCTTTTGTGTTTAAGGAAGTTATTACTTTATTTTTATACACGTTTAATGTGGCGCCCAATTGTCTGGAATACCCCCTCTACTTGTTATCACAAATGAAATTGTATATTTATTACACACACACGCTTAGAGCAACTTTTTATGTAACACATACACTTACACAATTATAAACAGAACTAAAATGTTTGTGTTTACTTCCCGGTAGTTTTTGAAAACTAGTTACATAACTACCCCTCTTTGACTAGTTTTGTAACTAGTTTTCTGTTTAATAAACAGTATTATAAAACTTTGAAATAGTCTCGAATTGTTTCTGATTTAATTTAATTTCTGATTTAGGATCCTTACTAAAAAGCTAACATTGCCTTTGAAAGCACTACCGGATATGAAAATATATTTGCGTTTTACGACCACATAGAAAATTTCCTCATAAAAATACGCACTAAAAAAACTTTAGCTTTTTTGTATTATTTCCTTTTTCTCGTGGAAAAAAATCCGCACCCAAGCTGCTTGAATATTGTACAAAGGATTTGCTTTACATATATTTGGCGTTTCCTTGTTTTTGTTATAAATAAAAGGACGAATACACAAACCATACATATTCCTAGCAAAAGGTTTCACTTTCTATCATGATGAAGGTCATTTAGTTTTTTTCGTTAGAAATTAATTTTTTTTTTGCTTTATTTTCTATAAGTATAACTGATAGACAGCCAGGAGAGAAAAGCGAAAGTAGTAAAATAACTTGAACTATTTTTTCTAAAATTTTCCTTAATTTTCTATTTTCCTACAAATGTTTATTAAAAGATAAATAATAAAATTGAGTCATCAATGTATACATTGATGTGTGAATAAATTTTAACTATGATTTATATTGTTTTTTTTTTTTATTTTATTTTTTTTTGTGGCTATTTTTATACACAATTCTAAAATTTACATTTGTATTTGTTTATTAATTGATGGCGTGTTGTAAATTGATTTTGATTGATTGAATGTATAGCCTGTGTTTGATGGTTGGTGTTACAGCTTTAGGTCAATAGGCAAAAATCATTTAATGAGATTATGTTTAAAAAATTTTAAGAGAGAGAGGGGAGGTAAGAGAAGAAAAAAAACTATAAAATATGTAATTCCCCGCCTTTACATTTTTTTGATTTTCTTAGAGCACATCAAAGCGTATGATTATTAATAATTAAAGAACAAATTTTAAATTTTCTTTTGATAAAAACCAAGAGATTTTAAATGAAAAATGAAAGCTTTTATTAATTGCCATGAAATTAAAAATGTTGGAATTTGGAAATTAAGTTTTTAAAGGCAATTAAGATAACACATATTTATATGAGACACCCTACAACCACCATTTTCTACTATGTTGTACAACGCTACGACACAGATTGTAAATTAAAAAATGGTTTCAATGTGAAAAGTTTATAAAATTCCAAACAAAATTACTTTATTTCCTTAGTAATCTCAATTGGCCTCAAAAATTTCCTTTGAAATTTACTAATTTTTTCTATAATTCCTTAGAAATTATAGCAAATTAAATAAGAATTGTAAAATTGTAAATGTCAAACTTAATAACACAAGTAACAAATTACATTACTACATTAAGAGCTACAATTTTTCATTTCATTTGGCTCACAAAAGGTTTTAAAATAAGGTTCTAATGAAAATAAATACACAAAGAAAGTTACTAAATAAATAGCATTAGTGTCAGGTTACCAAAAAGTAGAAAAAAAAGAAAGCTAAAACCCAAAAACAAAAACTCTTGGTAAGGACATAAACTCAAACACAAGTAGGACCTTACTGACATACTACTACTCATGCTTGATAGGTGCAGACATACAGCCACAACAACTTTAGGAGTAAAAAAGAAAAAACACACAAGCTGCCAGAACATGAAACGAAGCCAAACAGTTCCTTGCTAACTTAAAATGAAGCCAAGCAATATTTCTTTAAACATACACACACACACACATGTCTGTTTGTTTTTTTAATACAAAAACTAAAACTGGGTTATTTAGAATTCAAAATATATATTTTTTTAAATATAAAAGTAAAAGAAGAAATGTGGAGTCAAATGGAAAATAAATGCTTGTCACTAACAGCAAGGAAGCCAAGTATAACAAATATAAATATTAAAAAAAATGTGTAAAGAAACTTAAAAAATAAAGGGAAAAAATAGAATGTAAATGTGTCAAGGTTAAAAAAATATTAAATAAAAAATCATACAAAACTTAGAAATCCAAACGAAAATATAAACTTAAACCGGAAAAGAAGTATAGAAGTTGAAATGTAATGCTTTTATGCTTAGAAAATAAATATGCAACTAATTTTATCTCTAAGGACTTAAAGACACGCTAATGATAAAACACACAAACATGTTAAACAGCCCCGTTAGGTCTAAAAGTTAGAGCCATGTTTTATCTCAAACAAATTTTAACTTTAGCTTTTTAAGGAAATCCCCCGAACTGCAGGGCTTTTCAAACAACTCCTATAATAACATATGTGTTTGTCTTTAGCAGTGTCATTTGTTTTTTTTATGTTCTACACTCCCTCGAAATAGGATTTTAACATTTTTAATGACATTTACACACCCTGACAGGATAAAACATTCTACTGTCACTTTCTCTCTCTCTCACTCCCTCTCTCCTTTACTCTTTCTCTTTATAAAAGAATAATTTATAGCTATCTATTTACTTTGTTAGCTATGTGCATGTTTCTGCATGTTTATCTGAGTATTAAATGTCTTTCATTTTTTGTTTATATATTTCTTTCAGTGTATTTCCTGTTTAATTATAACTTTCCGTGGTGTTTTTTCTCCCAATTGTTCAGGCCCCAAACAATTTTGTTTTAAAGAAAAAATCTGTGAATAGATTTGGTGAGACTAGAGAGATATAGACTAGATTATAAACTATACTAAGACTAGATACAGAATAAACTATAGACAAAGACTATAGACTAGACTATAAGCTAGACTATAGCTAGATTTAGACTACATTATAGAAAGACTATAGACAACTATAGACTAGACTATCTGCATAAGCTAGAATTATACGACTAGACTATAAGACTAGACTATAGACTAGACTATGACGACTATAGACTAGACTATAGACATAGACTTAGACTAGGACTATAGAGACATAAGACTAGATATAGACTAACTAGATCTATGACTAGACTATGACTGACTATCGATAGACTAGACTAGACTATAGACTAGACTAGACTATAGACTAGACTATAGACTAGACTATAGACTAGACTATAGACTAGACTATAGACTAGACTATAGACTAGACTATAGACTAGACTATAGACTAGACTATAGACTAGACTATAGACTAGACTATAGACTAGACTATAGACTAGACTATAGACTAGACTATAGACTAGACTATAGACTAGACTATAGACTAGACTATAGACTAGACTATAGACTAGACTATAGACTAGACTATAGACTAGACTATAGACTAGACTATAGACTAGACTATAGACTAGACTATAGACTAGACTATAGACTAGACTATAGACTAGACTATAGACTAGACTATAGACTAGACTATAGACTAGACTATAGACTAGACTATAGACTAGACTATAGACTAGACTATAGACTAGACTATAGACTAGACTATAGACTAGACTATAGACTAGACTATAGACTAGACTATAGACTAGACTATAGACTAGACTATAGACTAGACTAGACTAGACTAGACTATAGACTAGACTATAGACTAGACTATAGACTAGACTATAGACTAGACTATAGACTAGACTATAGACTAGACTATAGACTAGACTATAGACTAGACTATAGACTAGACTATAGACTAGACTATAGACTAGACTATAGACTAGACTATAGACTAGACTATAGACTAGACTATAGACTAGACTATAGACTAGACTATAGACTAGACTATAGACTAGACTATAGACTAGACTATAGACTATAGACTAGACTATAGACTAGACTATAGACTAGACTATAGACTAGACTATAGACTAGACTATAGACTAGACTATAGACTAGACTATTGACTAGACTATAGACTAGACTATAGACTATTTATTTTC